AGGCTGCAGTGAGCCATGATTGCACCATTGCATTCCAGCCTGGGCGACAGAGCAAGACCCTGTCTTTTAAAAGAAAACAAAACAAAACAAAAAAAAAACAAACCAAAGTGTGTAGGTACTAAAAAGACTATCATTAAATATATCCAAACCAGTTTTACTGTCCTATCTCTGTTGTAATGGCCTTGTCACATTATTTGTATGTGTAGGCAATCTAGAAATAATAAATGAGCTGTTAGATATGTTTCAAGGTCAGTATTTAAATACTGACTTACTTGTAATAACTAGTTCAACAGGTATTGTGTTTGTTGGCTAGGTACTGAGGTAATAGGATATAAGTCCAGGGAGCTCACAGGTCAGTTTGGGATAGAGAACACAGGCCAGAGAAACGTATCTTCAGTCTGTATGCTGTTTTCACAGAACTAGGAGAACCTATTAGGAAAAGCCTTTAAGGCGGTAACGCCAGAACTAAGTTCTTTTTTTATTTATTTTTGAAATGGAGTCTCACTCAGCCACCTAGGCTGGAGTGCAGTGGCGTAATCTCAGCTCACTGCAACCACCATCTCCCAGCTTCAAGCGGTTCTCCTGTCTCAGCCTCCCAAGTAGCTGGGATTACAGGCACCTGCCATCAGGCTTGGCTAATTTTTGTATTTTAGTACAGATGGGGTTTCACCATGTTGGCCAGGCTGGTATTGAACACCTGACCTCAGGTGATCCACCCGCCCCAGCTTCCCACAGTGCTAGGATTACAGACGTGAGCCACCATGCCTGGCCAAGCTAAGTTCTTAAGAATTAGTAGAAGTAGAGAGTACAGAAATATTTTATGGGGATAGAGCCTGTGAAAAAGTCACAGAAGTATGAATTTTGCAAAACAAACATTTTTTTCTACTTTTTTTCTTTTGAAAAGTTTGATTATTCTTTCTTTAATTGACAAACTAATACATTCAAAAGTAGGCCTTTCCCCGCGGACCCCCAGTCTTTCCAGGATGGATTTCTTGTGTATTCTTCGAAACTGTCTATACCACTCTAAGGATATATACTTTTAAAAAGGTGGAATCATATACACTTTGCTGTACTTCATCATGTGCTCAAGTTTTTGCTTTTGCTGTTTTTCCTGTCTCCTACATAATGGTCTGTCTTGGAAATCTTTGGTGGGAAGCATTCAAAGAAGGGTTTGACACAAAGGAGTAACATGGTCAGTTCCATATTTTAGGTAGCCATAACACTGATGGCCATATTTTCATAAAAATGAAAGTAAAGATGAAGGAAGGAAATATATTCAAGATGATAATGACTTTAGGAATAGATCTGTATCTCCTGTACCCAACTTGCCCATCAACCTGAGAAAGCTAGTGGGAAAACTCTTAAGCCTTTGCACTCATGAATTGGCTCACATTAGAGGTGTTGCTACTTCCCTACCAGGTGTTTGGAAATGTACGGTTGTTGTCAGAGTAACTGAAGGGGCTCTACAGGCATTTGATGGGTGGGGGCCAGAGATGCTAAACTGCATTACTCAAAATGGTCCCATAGTGTTTTGACAGACTGAGAGTGGCCTTCTACCCTGTCTTACGATAAGTAGCAGGTCTGTTATTTGAGGATGAATAAAAACAAAAAACAATAGGAGTCTATGGAATATCTATATAATAAAGGAATGGGAACATCATCCTAAAGACTAACAAGGAGAGCAGAACTCTGAACATGATTTTTATAGGAAAAAAAAAAAATCTGACAGTCTCAAGAAGTGGCTTTTAAAAAGTAGATTGTAAAGTTTTAATTTCCAAGGCAGATTCAGCCCTGTCAGCATGTTTTTTACAGTCTACACATTGTTTTAAGAAATTTCTCACAAGTTTGCCAGCATTTAAAAATAGATTTTAAATAAAAATTCCAATATATTGCTTCTCTTGAAAAATCAGATCTTTAAGCAGTAAGGTTGAATTGCATTCCACCTTACCTGCCATGTAAGCTTTTTAGTTTGCAGTCCCTGCAATAACAAGCAATGGTCGGGACAACCATGATACAGTTTTTACAGATTGAACAATAAACATGAAAATAAAGAGAAGGAAGGTGTTTGTGGGACTCTTCTGTACAGAAATTTAATCTGAGAATTAAACAAGACTGAGAAATGACAAGTATAAATCATTCCAAGTTTGATTTTAAAATTGAATATATATATATAAGTCTGTGTGTGTGTGCGTGTGTATGTATGTATGTATATATCTCTTTCCCTTTTTTGTTCCCTCTCCTTTTTTTGAAGCAGTTAATTCCTAAAGCCATTAGGTGAGCCCAAGCAAGGTAGGCATCCACGCCAAACTCAGTGGCACAGAGCAGAGTGTTGGAACCTGACCAGGTTCAGAAGGTGTGGGATGGGGAAGACTACCAGTATGGGGTTTCAGAGCCCAAGCAGAGTGAGAAGTGCACCCCTGTGGAGGAATGACTGGCATGGGATGTCAAGAGTGCAAGTAGGATGAGGAAGGTGTCTACATAGGAGGGTTAGGACTAAAAGAAACCAGGGCTTTTTGGAGAAATGGCAGATTCCAAGGCTGGGGTAGGAAAAGAACAAGATAAATCTGGAACTTCTTGTTCGGCCAGAAAGTAAGAAAGGGCTCAAAGAATGATGAGGACATGTTCAAAAAACACAATAATGTCTATAAAATAGGAAACCATGAGGGAATAAGTAAATGAATACATTGAAAGTTTGATGAAGAACAGGATATTTACATACTTCCGAATTACGTCCCTCCAAAATATTCATTGTCTACAAAAGAGAAACAAGAATCATGGTAAAATTTGGCAGATAATACCTTAAGCCAGTGATTAACATCAGCAGTAATGAAATAAAAATCACGTGTTACCTGATAGGATGCAGCGAGAACACAGCATCTGTGATATTCTTACCAAAGATGTGTGACCTGAATTTGATCACAAAGAAACACCAGAGAAACCCAAATTGAAGGATATTCCCATACAAAATAACTGGCCTGTAATCTTCAAAAGTATCAAGGTCATAAAAAACAAGGAAAGACTGGAATATTTCCAAATCAAAGGAGAGTAAAGAAACATGGTGGCTAAATATAGCACACGATTCTGAACTGGATGGTATTGGGACAAATGGCAAAACCTGAATGGGGTCTGAGGATTAAATGTTAGTAATATATCAGCCCTGATTTCCTGATTTTGGTGATTGTCTTGTTATCTAGGAAGCCACCCTTATGTTGTAGAAATTATATGCTAAAATGTTCAGGGGTAACAGCATGGTGCTAGCAACTTACTCTGAGGTGCTTCCAGATTTTTAAAAGGTTTTTGTTTTTGTTTGTTTGTTTGTTTGAGGTGGAGTCTCATTCTGTGGCCCAGGCTGGAATGCAGTGGCACAGTCTCGGGTCACCGCAACCTCTGCCTTCCGGGTTCAAGCGATTCTCCCTGCTCAGCCTCCTAAGTAGCTGGGATTACAGGCACCCGCCATCATGCCTGGCTAATTTTTGTGTTTTTAGTAGAGACCAGGTTTCACCATGTTGGCCCGGCTGGTCTCGAACTCCTGACCTCAGGTGATCCACCCGCCCCAGCCTCCCAAAGTGCTGGGAGCCACCGTGCCCGGCCTCAGGTTTTAAAAAGGTTTTTGAATTGTACTTGCAACTTTTCTTTAAGTTTGAGTTCAAAATAAAACAAATTTTTAGAAAGTAGGAAAGGCTTTATGTACACACAGAAAAAGTGGCTTGGGATATTTTGCCACAACGTGCCTTTTAATTTTAGCATTACTCTCATTAATGCTAAAATTAGCATTAGTATTACTTTAATTACATAAAGACTGCTGGAAAAAGTAAACAGTGTAGAAATGGTACCCAGTTTAAGTCCCTAAGTCATAGAAACAATCAGTAGTAACTATATATGTGTTACAATGATCTGTGTTAAATAAATGTAAAGGTTCAGTTTTAAAGTTGTAAATATTTTGTATGATGTTTATTAGTACATGTCTTAAAACAAAGTTTGAATATTTGGAATTGCAAAATATAATTTGAGACTAGACACATTAATTTTCCTATAAATTTATCAATAATTTTTGAAGGTTTTTCTGTTTGGCTAATTTATTTGTTTAATATAGTTGAGTTTAAAAGTGAAGTTTTGGTTTCTTCTAAGACTGGATGAACTTTGCCTGTTGCTAAAATATATATCTTCTTCCACCTTTCATATTTAAAATTAAAGATAGTTAATCTATAAACTAATGAATAAAATAAAGATATTATATATAATATAATGAAAACTAGTGTACATAAAAAGTAATTTCATAACTAGTCCGAGTCTCAGATTCCAAATGAAATAGAAGAGGAAAAGGGTGTCTCAAAAGAGATAGAATTTCAGTCTTAACTTTGATAATTAGAAAGCAATATAGGTTAAAGAGTAATTTTAAAATCTATTCACTAGCAGAATTTAAAGCAAGTTACATGCTTTCTAAGCCATGGAAAGTATAAACGCAAACAAAACATAGTCTGTAAGAGTAAGAGGAGATCCTTTTGTAGTTCATAAGTGTGATGATTGGCTTTGCACACTCTTATGTAAGATGTGCCTCCCTCAAACCTTGTTAGGGCATTGTCACATTACCCATTTGAGGGAGAAAAAAGAGTAAGGGGAAAACACAAAGGAAATATAAACCAGAAAATATTTAATAACGTGGGAAAATACAATATAACTATATGCAAGATGACCCCAGTTTTGTATTTGTGTTCATGTGTATGACAAATGTCATTATATGTAGAAAAGAGACTGAAAAAAATCAGATTGAGCAGTTTCCTCTATGAGATGAAATTATGGGTGATTTCCATTTTCTCCTTTAAACTTTTTTTTTTAAATTTAAACAATATACATGTGCAAATATCTAACATATGTATACAACTCCTAAACAAATTTTCTTTAAAAATTACAATATACTGTGTTCTATCTTTTAAATACTATAAAAGATATTCTAAAATATTTTGTAGATTTTTTCAGTGGAAAAATCTGTTTATTTCTAGGCTCATTGGTGGGCAGTATTACTTATGGGAATTGCTCTGATCATGCTAATGGCTGGATTTATTAAGATATGCAGTGTTCACACTCCAAGTAGTAATCCAAAGTTGCCTCCTCCTAAACCACTTCCAGGTAAGAATATTTGAGCAAGATACATGTTTATGTAACTCAGAATTGTTTAGCAGGTAGAATTGAATTATAAATGAGTCTTTAGTAACTAATGTTATAGTACTTTCTCCTTAAGAATGGGATTATTGGATGAATGATTTAGTTGATATTTGTGTGATTTTTGTCAATCCAGTCTGGCCAGTGACTGCTAAGTTAATGCTAATTTATCTGAATGTCTGAATATTTAGAACTAGAAATTTTAAATTTTGCTTGGTATTTGTTTTCTTGGTTATATATATACATATATATATTCTAACTATCTAACATCTATACATACATATACATATATATATATTCTAACATCTTGTCATGATTATGGTAAACTACTTTGAAATTATTGATCTTTCTATTCTAATAGTTGTGCTTTTCATATTGTTGTCCTTCCTCCCCTTCCATCTTCCCTTTCTCCCACCCTCCCTTCCTTCTTTTTCTTTTTCTTTCTTTCACTATGTTGCCCAGGCTGTACTTAATCCAGAGCTCAAGCAATCCTCCCCGCCTGAGCCTCCTAAGTAGCTGGGACTGCGGGCACGTGCACTGCACCCAGCTCTCTTACTGTTTTTACTGTTTGTGCTCTTGAAATATTTTCTGGCACATAAGCTTATTTTCCCCCAGGGTGATGCTTATGGGGAAATACAGATCCCAGTCTGTGGGAAAGTCTTAGAGTAGAGGATTCATTCACCAGATAAGCATAGTCAAGTATTCTCCATTCCTGAAAACAACTCTTTAGTTCTGGTCTCCACCTTTTTCCTCTCAGGGAGACATAGCATGAGGAAGGACCCTCTTTAGATGAGCTGTGGGCATTGGAAGGAGAAAAGGATAGGAAATAAACCCTTCGTATTGTTTAGTCCCCTCTGTTTATCCCTCCCCCTCTCCAAGGTATTTGTAGCTATTCTCTACAGGTGTGGGGACAGACATTGTCTCAGGGCAGCGGCAGGGGAGAACCAGAGCTAAATGACAGCAGTTCCCTCTCCTGCCGCTCTCAGACTTCTCATAAAGTGTCTTGCCTCAGGCAAATCCACTACCTTACACAAAGTAGTTCAAAACTAGATTTCTTATGCTTTTTCCCTGTTTTCCCTCAGTTGTTCACCTGCACTTACCTGTCTGGAGCAAGATGGCCAATACTCGTGCTAGGACAGTATCTTAGTGAGAATTAGAGAAAATTTGATTTTTACGTCATTGCTTTTCTTAAATGCACAATGTTAGTTAGCACTCTGGAACTTACGTTAGTATTTAAGGAAGTTCTAAGGGCCACATGACACTTTTTAGATACTGTTACCAATTGTCTCATTCAGTGAAACATTTTATGTGTATATTAATTTCATTTTAAATAGCACCTTTAAAAGCTTAGAAAACTAGCTGTCATTTATTGAACTCTCACAAAAAGCATTAAACATTTTTATATGAATTATATAATCTTTACAACAGGCTATATACATTAATTATCATCCCTGTTTTACAGTGTAGGCATCTGAGTCTCAGGTTAAGGCGTTTGCTCAAAGACACTTAGTAATTCCCTCATATGGATTCCATCCACAGAATCTGTGATATTAATCTAGATTAATCTAATACATGTGGCTGTTGAGCACTGAAATGTTGCTAGTTTCCATTGAAATGTGCTGTTTTAATTAAGATACATGCCAGAGTTTGAAGATTTAGTATAAAAAATGAAATATTTTGTTAGTAATTTTTTATATTGATTACATATTGAAATAACACTTTGGCTATGTTAATTTAAATAAAATAAAAAATATTATTAAAATTATTTCACCTTTTAAACTTTTTTGTTATGGCTGTCAGAAGCTTTTAAATTACATTGGGTGGCCCATATTATTGGACCAGCACTGAACTAAAACCTTTCTTCCTGAAACAGCAGCTTTGCTTTTAAAGATTGAAAAGCTCATGATAAATAAATCTGTTTTGCTTTTGTTTGTGGCTCACAGGCACTTTAAAGAGGAGGAGACCTCCACAGCCCATTCAGCAACCCCAGCGTCAGCGGCCCCGAGAGAGTTATCAAATGGGACACATGAGACGCTAACTGCAGCTTTTGCCTTGGTTCTTCCTAGTGCCTACAATGGGAAAACTTCACTCCAAAGAGAAACCTATTAAGTCATCATCTCCAAACTAAACCCTCACAAGTAACAGTTGAAGAAAAAGTGGCAAGAGATCATGTCCTCAGACCAGGTGGAATTACTTAAATTTTAAAGCCTGAAAATTCCAATTTGGGGGTGGGAGGTGGAAAAGGAACCCAATTTTCTTATGAACAGATATTTTTAACTTAATGGCACAAAGTCTTAGAATATTATTATGTGCCCCGTGTTCCCTGTTCTTCGTTGCTGCATTTTCTCCACTTGCAGGCAAACTTGGCTCTCAATAAACTTTTACCACAAATTGAAATACATATATTTTTTTCAACTGCCAATCAAGGCTAGGAGGCTCGACCACCTCAACATTGGAGACATCACTTGCCAATGTACATACCTTGTTATATGCAGACATGTATTTCTTATGTACACTGTACTTCTGTGTGCAATTGTAAACAGAAATTGCAATATGGATGTTTCTTTGTATTATAAAATTTTTCCGCTCTTAATGAAAAATTACTGTTTAATTGACATACTCAGGATAACAGAGAATGGTGGTATTCAGTGGTCCAGGATTCTGTAATGCTTTACACAGGCAGTTTTGAAATGAAAATCAATTTACCTTTTTCTTATGATGGAGTTGGTTTTGATACTCATTTTTTTCTTTATCACATGGCTGCTACGGGCACAAGTGACTATGCTGAAGAACACAGTTAAGTGTTGTGCAAACTGGACATAGCAGCATATACTACTTCAAAGTTCATGATGTAGATGTCTGGTTTCTGCTTACGTCTTTTAAACTTTCTAATTCAATTCCATTTTTCAATTGATAGGTGAAATTTTATTCATGCTTTGATAGAAATTATGTCAATGAAATGATTCTTTTTATTTGTAGCCTACTTATTTGTGTTTTTCATATATCTGAAATATGCTAATTATGTTTTCTGTCTGATATGGAAAAGAAAAGCTGTGTCTTGGCCGGGCGCGGTAGCTCAAGCCTGTAATCCCAGCACTTTGGGAGGCCGAGACGGGCGGATCACGAGGTCAGGAGATCGAGACCATCCTGGCTAACATGGTGAAACCCCGTCTCTACTAAAAAATAAAAAAAAAACTAGCCGGGCGAGGTGGCGGGCGCCTGTAGTCCCAGCTACTCGGGAGGCTGAGGCAGGAGAATGGCGTAGACCCGGGAGGCGGAGCTTGCAGTGAGCTGAGATGCGGCCACTGCACTCCAGCCTGGGAGACAGAGCGAAACTCCGCCTCAAAAAAAAAAAAAAAAAAAAAAAAAAGCTGTGTCTTTATCAAAATATTTGAAGAGTTTTTTCAGCATATCATCACTGATCATTGGTAACCACTAAAGATGAGTAATTTGCTTAAGTAGTAGTTAAAATTGTAGATAGGCCTTCTGACATTTTTTTTCCTAAAATTTTTAACAGCATTGAAGGTGAAACAGCACAATGTCCCATTCCAAATTTATTTTTGAAACAGATGTAAATAATTGGCATTTTAAAGAAAGAGAAAGCAAAAACATTTAATGTATTAACAGGCTTATTGCTATGCAGGAAATAGAAGGGGCATTACAAAAACTGAAGCTTGTGACATATTTATTGCTTCTGTTTTCCAACTACATCACTTCAATTAGAAGTAAAGCTATGATTTTCCTGACTTCACATAGGAGGCAAATTTAGAGAAAGTTGTAAAGATTTCTATGTTTTGGGTTTTTTTTTTTTTCCTTTTTTTTTTAAGAGTATAAGGTTTACACAATCATTCTCATAATGTGACGCAAGCCAGCAAGGCCAAAAATGCTAGAGAAAATAATGGGATCTCTTCCTTGTAAACTTGTACAGTATGTGGTGACTTTTTCAAAATACAGCTTTTTGTACATGATTTAGAGACAAATTTTGTACATGAAACCCCAGATAGACTATAAATAATTCTAAACAAACAAGTAGGTAGATATGTATGTAATTGCTTTTAAATCATTTAAATGCCTTTGTTTTTGGACTGTGCAAAGGTTGGAAGTGGGTTTGCATTTCTAAAATGGTGACTTTTATTCTGCAAGAGTTCTTAGTAACTTCTTGAGTGGTAGACTTTGGAACATGTAAATTTTTTGCTTGTAATGTTATCCTGTGGTAGGGTTTTGGCAGGTACATACACTGCCCTATTTTATTTTGAGTCTAAGTTAAATGTTTTCTGAAAAGAGATACATGCACTGAACTCTTTCCACTGCGAAACAAGATGTGGTAAAATAAAAGGATCAAGAAAAATGAGATCTAATACTACTGTCAGTTTTAATGTCCACTGTGTTTTATACAGTATCTTTTTTTGTTCACTTTGGAAATTTTTACTAAAAATTGCAAAAAATAAAGTATTGTGCAAAGATGTAAGGTTTTTTGAAACTTGAAATGCATTAATAAATAGACTTGATTAAATCAACTTGAAGGTTCTATACTCTTTGAACTTGTGAGAACTATCACAGGAAGCTTCCCACAAGGCAGGTTTTCTTACAGTTGTCTCTTCCTGCAAAAGTATAGATTATCTTTATCTTAACACCCAACTAATCTCAACTGCATTACGTTGTTTCTAATCAATATTCAGTGCTTGTCTTGGTGGAAGAGGTGAGTCATTTTGAAAACTTATGGTATTGTTTATATGTGTTTTTCAAAGTTTTTAATGCTAAGTACCTCATTTATTTTAAAAAGCCTGGTTTAATGATAAGTCTATTTAAAATTTTGAGCCAGCATTTTTCTGTTCATAGCAAATGTGGAGAGAATTGACATTTCAGTGTTATCTAGAAAAGGAATTGTAAGCCCATAATAGTTCCCTGCATGGGGTAATCTGCTTCAAATTCTTTTTTCTGTCAAGGTTAGCTATACTTGTTGAATGAGTAAATATGTAATACTTTGTGAATTACTTTGTTAATTTAGGAGCATCAAATGTATATTATGTTTAGTTATTTATGAAACTCTCAATATTGATTAATTTGGGTAATTATAAATTAGTTATTTTTACTTACAATCGAATGCTTAAATTCTGTTTACAGTCTGTCCTCTCTCCCTCCTTCTCTCCCTCCCCAGTTTTACAAATTCAGACACCAATTCACAGACAAAATCAGAAATAAGATAAATTTATTAATTGCTTCTGGATTTAGCATTCCCTGTAGTGTCAGCCAATGTCATGTGGTTTGGGGAAGCATTTATTTAAGTAAATGACAACTTTCTCTGATCAGTCTTGTTTTGTGAGGTGTCTTCAACACTTTGTGCTTTGGGTACTTTGTTTTTGTCACAGTCTTAGAATAGTGAAATCTGATTTGTCCAAGCTGAGCAAACTACTCGACCCTAAGTCCTTGTATTTGTCCCTGTAGTAAGACCTAATTATTATTATTTCTCAAAGCTATCCTTGGCAGCTGTGAAATTTCAGGGGCTTGTGCATGAGAATATTTTCCTATTAAGTATTTCTAATTGAAAGTATCAGAGTGTCAAGCATTACAAACCTGGACAGTTCACTTTCAGGAGTACCAGAAGAGATATTCATTATCCATATTTAAAGGGTTAAGGTCTCCCAAAACCAGGGTGCAAGCCAGATGTAGTTTTAAAGCAGCTGCCAGGGACAGTTCATCTTTAGAGAAGTCACTAAAGTTGTAACAAATTTTAGTTTCCCCAAAACCACTTTGACCTTCTTAGAAACTAGAAGGATGATTGGTTTGCCCCGCAGAAGACAACTTCAGTTTCAGCATCTCTCGTGTTATGTTCTTGATTAAAAACAACTTCCATTTGATATACTTTTCCCTTTATTGCCTGTTTAGTTTTTTCACTATTATTTCTGTATTCAACTCTTTATATGATTAGGATGCAAATTTAGCCCTTCTGTTTTATATTGCTATATTGTTTGTGTGTCTTAGATATATACATACATGTACTATTTTCAGTAGAAATTCGTGTATTTTATAATTGATAAGCTCTTCCGAGCATCTCTTGTCCTATAAAAAGCAACAGGATGCTAGGTAAAATGGAGCGTTGAGCAAAATACTGATTAGTTTTTGGTTTTTCCTGAAATCTACACTAAAGTGATAGGGTGTGGGGGTAATCCAACAGGGACAAGTTGAATTGAACAAGAACAAAATTTTGGAAACTTGGAAGCAGATGAAGGAGTACTGTGGATTTGGGAGACCCAGGGAAGTCAAATCCTAAACCAGCAGTGGGAACACAAGAGAATGGTGTAGTTTGCACTGTTGAGATTTGGGTACCTGGCAGGGCTGGGCACGGTGGCTCACACCTGTAATCCCAGCACTTTGGGAGGCCGAGGCGGGTGGATCACTTGAGGTCAGGAGTTCGAGACCAGCCTGGCCAACATGGTGAAACCCTGTCTCTACTAAAAATTCAGCTGGGCGTGGTGACACATGCCTGTAATCCCAACTACTCAGGAGTCAGAGGCAGGAGATTTCTGAACCCAGGAGGCAAGAGGCTGCAGTGAGCCGCGGTTGCGCCATTGCACTCCAGCCTGGGTGACAGAGCAAGAAAAAAATGGATATCTGGCCTTCGTGACTTTTTTCCATGTGTGTGACAAAAACATAATATGCACACTTTTGTAACCCACCTTTCTTATTTAACAGTACCTTGATATTGTATATCACATTAATTACTGTGAATATTTATATGGCTGCATTGTATGTTTTCTTTTAATTAGCCAGTTTCCCGTTGTTTGGACATTTAGGTTCCACATTATTTATTATTTTAAACAATTCTAAAGAATTTTAAATGATTCTTAGGAAAATCCTCAGCCTAATAATAATATTAATTCCTAAAAGTGGAATTGTTGGGGTAAAGGTTTTTTGAGGGTCATTGATAAAAATGATGGTACTGTCTCCCAGATAGATGTACCAAGTTATACTCCCACAATTAAAAAATATATATATATTAAAAAATCAGAGTCCCATCCTTAGAAATCCACATATATGCAGCCACATGAATTTGTTGGAAACAATAATAGAAGACTCATGCTTAATTAAGTTGATTAGCTTTAGACATAATTCAAATGAAAGTCAAATTGAGTGCCCTAATTGTGGTCTCTGAGTACCATTTTTCTTCAAGGGAAGCAGACTCCTTTGGATAAATCACTAATTCCCCTGTAAGAAAGAAATGTACAAGGAGAGCCTGGGAAACGTTCTTTTGTACCAGATCAGAAAGATTCAGGAGGCACCTTAGAAGTTACCACTGGCCAAAGCTGAGATAACTTTAGCATCGGCAAGGATAGTATCTGCAAGAGATTGAAACTCATAGGATTATGTTGAACTCCATGAGTTAATAATGGTAGTGGACAGAATTATAGTCACTGTTGGGATATGCTTTTAAAGACATTCCAGGTGATAAGAGAAATGATAGAATTAGGATATCACCATTTTACCCCCCAACAATTAATGGATCTAGACAATAATCACCAGTGACTGCTAACCTCACAAAGAGAGCAATCAGATTTTGTGCCTCCTAATGGAAGGACATATACCACCTGTGAAGCAGTTCTGCCAAAAGTCACATCTGATCATGATGAAGCCTCTGGATCTAACTATCCCTTCATTAGAAATAAGGGGACAGAGGGACAAATAATATACAAGGGACTCAATCAGCAAAATCCACACTCTGGAAAACTACAAGACAAATGGCCCTGCTGCTTCAACAACAGAAATGCAAAGAGAAAAGACAACGATGGGTTAAAGGAGACTTAAGAGATATATCTATCAAGACAATTTATGGACTTAATTTGGATACTGATTTGAACAAACTGTTGAGACCATTGGAAAAATGTGAAAAGTGGATATTTGATATTAGGGTTTTTAATTATCTTTGGGTGTGATGATGGTATTGTTACTTTTTTTAAAGGACCCCTTTTAGAGATGCAAATTGAAACACTTAAAAATGAAATATGTATAAGTTTTTGTTTAAAAATAAGGATTGAAGTTGGCTAGTGTGTTTGGATATAGTTGAAACAGGATTGGCTGTGAGCTGATAATTATTGAAGCTGGGTGATAGGCACTTGGGGATTTATTATACTATTTTCTCTACCTGTGTTTATATTTGAAATTTTTCATAAAAGTTTTTAAAATGTGGCCGGGCATGATGGCTCTCGCCTGTAATCCCAACACTTTGGGAGGCCAAGGTGGGAGGATCACTTGAACTCAGGAGTTAGAGACCAGCAAAATAGTGAGACTCTACATCTCAAAGAAAAAAAAAAGTGTTTTAAATGTGAATCAAATTCATATAGAAGCTGATTCGTTACTGTTTTTATTTTAGCAGTACTTCATGATAATGACCTGTATTCATAATGATTTTCATAATGATTGTTTTAGTGGAATTAAACTTGAACCAGTCAAGCTAACATAATTAATTATATTCTGCTCCAGTTACAATGAATAATTAATTGATTTCAACTGCTAGGGTAAACTCTTGAAGCTATCAGTCATCCAGCAATCTTAGCAAGCAGGCCATTGGTTCCCTGTTTGCTTTCTCTCTCTCTCTCTCTCTCTCTCTCTCTCTCTCTCTCTCTCTGTCTGTTGTAGGGCTTGCTAACTACTTAAGTAAAATATTTGTTTTCTGTTAAACATGTCAGGGAGTATGGTCAGCTTATCCACATTAAGCCTGTGTGTCCCAAGTTGGAGTAAATGTTAAGTAACTCAGTACAATAAACTAGATTCTTCTACCCTTTCTTGTTTAAATGATCATGTTCCCTGGAGGTGGAAATAGATCTTTAAAAAGATATCCTGTGGTTGTTTGTTCTCAGTGTAAAAAAATGAGAATAATTTGATAGAGTGTAGGTTGTCTTATATAAAAAGTGCTTCCATTTGCATGAATTTTAGAAAAATCACTTTGGAAAAATGAAGGCTATGTGGTTATAGTGAACACATTAAGCAATTTTATTCTTTATTTAAAATGAATATTTTATTATTTTCTTCCCTTGCCCTTTGGGTATGGGAGTTAGCCTTAGTATTTCTAAATACAACAGGCCAGTTTTTATAAATTAAGGTGTTGATATATTCTTAATTATTTAGTTTTGTGATTGTGGTTAGTTTTCATTTTTCTTAAGCACCTACTAGTAGCATCTGTAATTAAGTGAACTGACCTATTAACGGTTTTCCTCTTTCTCCTCTTTTCCTCCTCCTCGAAATATATCAGAGCACGTTTGGAATTCTTTGGCTCTTACGGTGTGCATTTGCTGATATGCATTGACCAGTTACCTTACTCACGGGGTAGATACTTCTTATGCACTTGATTGTGCCAGGGCCTTGGCTAGATGATAAGAATATAGTAGTGAACTTAACAGTGTCCCTGCCCTGGTGAAGCTTATGGTCTTGTAGGTGAGACAGATACCAGATAATCATGTGAATAAATGTACAATTCCAGCTGTGCTACATGCCGAGGGGGAGGTTTTTGGTGATCCAAGAG